GAATTTTTTCTCCATATATTCTTTTAGGAGTTTTATGGTTTTGATCTTACATTTAAGTGTTTAATCCATTCCAAGTTAATTGTTGTGAGTTGTGTAAGATAGGTGTCTGGTCTCATTCCTTTGCATGGGAATATCTAATTTTCCCTGCATTATTTATTTATTTGTTTATAAAATGATAAATCTTTGATTTATTTTCATTTAAGTGTAACTTTTATTTTACTTACAGTGTTACATAGTTTCAGGTGTACAATATAGTACAATTCCATGTATCACCTGGTGCTCATCACAAATGCCCTCCTTAATCCCCATCACCTATTTAATCCCCAACCCCCATCTTCTCTGGTAACCATCAGTTTGTTCTCCATAATTGAGAGTCTGTTTCTTTGTGTGTGTGTGTGTGTCTCTCTCTCCCTTTGCTCATTTGTTTTGTTTCTTAAATTCCACATATGAGGGAAATCATATGGTATTTGTGTTTTTCTGACTGACTTATTTCCTTAGCATTATACTCTCTAGCTCCCTCCATGTTGTTGCAAATGGCAAGATTTCATTATTTTTAAGGCTGAATAGTATTATAATATAATATGGTAATGGTATTTATGGCCGAATATATATCACATCTTCTTTATCCATTCATCAGTTGATGGACAATTTGGCTGCTTCCATATCTTGACTATTGTAAATAATGCGGCTATAAGCATGGGGTGTGTGTATCCCTTTAATAGTGTTTTGTATTCTTTGGGTAAATTCCCAGTAGTGCAATTGCTGGATTGTAGGGTAGTTCTATTTTTAACTTTTTGAGTAACCTCCATACTGTTTTCCATATGGCTTCACCAGTTTGCATTCCCACCAGCAATGCATGAGGGTTCCTTTTTTCTCCATATCTTCATCAACACGTGTTGTTTCTTGTGTTTTTTATTTTAGCCATTCTGACAGGTGTGAGGTGATATCTCACTGTAGGTTTGATTTGCATTTCCCTGATGATCAGTGATGCTGATCATCTTTTCATGTGTCTGTTGGCCATCTGTATGTCTTCTTTGGAGAAATATCTATTCCTGTCTTCTGTCCATTTTTTAATTGGATAATTTATTTTTTGGGTGTTGAGATTTATTAGATCTTTATATATTTTGCATGCTAACCCTTTGTCAGATATGTCATTTGTAAATATCTTCTCCCATTCAGTAGGATACCTTTTAGTTTTGCTGATTGTTTCCTTTGCTGTGCAGAAGCTTTTCATTTTGATGTAGTCCCAGTAGTTTATTTTGCTTTTGTTTCTCTTTCCTCAGGAGAAATATCTAGAAAAAAGTTGCTACAGCCAGTGTCAAAGAAGTTACTGCTTGTGTTTTTGGTGTACTTGTAAATGGGATTGTTTTCTTAATTTTTCTCTTTCTGCTGCTTCATTATTGGTGTATAGAAATGCAACAGATTTCTGTACATTGATTTTGTACATCCATTATGATTTTTTCGTGAGACTTTACTAACTTGCTGCGGCTAGGACTTCAAATACTGTGTTGAATAGAATTGGTGAGGGTGGACATTCTTGTGTTATTCCTGACCTTAGGGGGAAAGCTCTCAGTTTTTCCCCATTGAGGATGATGTTTGCTGTGGGTTTTTCATATACGGCCTTTATGATGAGGTGTGTTCCCTCTAAACCTACCCTGTTGAAGGTTTTTATCATGACTGGATGTTGTACTTTGTCAAATGCTTTTTCTGCCATGTATTGAAATGATCATATGGTTTTTATCCTTTCTCCTTTGCATCCTGAAAATAAATCCTATCTGATTGTGGCAATTGATTTTTTTAATGTATTGTTGAATTCAGTTTCCTACTATTTTATTGACAATTTTTGCATCTATGTTCATCAGGGATATTGGCCTATAGTTCTTTTTTTAGTGGTGATTTTATCTGATTTTGGTATCAAGATAATGCTGGCCTTATAGAATGAATTTGGAAGTGTTCCTTTCTTTTTGTTTTTTTGGAATAGTTTGAGAAGAATAGGTATTAACTCTTCTTTAAATGTTTGGTAGAATTCGCCTGTGAAGCCATCTGGTCCTGGACTTCTGTTTGTTGAGAGTTTTTTGATTACTGATTCAATTTCTTTGCTGGTATCAGTCTATTCAAATTTTCTATTTCTTCCTGTTTCAGTTTTGGTAGTTTATATGTTTCTGGGAATTTATGTCTTCTAAGCTGCCCAATTGGTTGGTATCTAGATTTTTATATTTTCTTATAATTTTTTGTATTTCTGTGGTGTTGGTTATTTCTCCTCTCTCATTTGTGACTTTGTGTCCTTTCTCATTTCTTTTTGACAAGTCTGGCTAGAAGTTCATCAATTTTATTAGTTTTTTCAAAGAACCATCTCCTGGTTTCATGGATTTGCTCTATTGTCTTTTTAGTTTCTATATCATTTTTCTCTCTACTGTTTATTATTTCCTTCCTTTTCCTGATTTTATATTTTGTTTGTTGTTCTTTCACTAGCTTGTAAGTTTAGGTTGTTTATTTGATTTTTTTTTTTTTCTCACTTCTTGAGGTAGGCCTGTATTGCAATTAACTTCCCTCTTAGAATGTTGCATCTCAAAGGTTTTGGGCCATTGTGTTTTCATTTTCATATGTTTCCGTGTACTTTTTTATTTCTGTTTTTATTTCCTGGTTGAAGTATTCATTGTTTAGTGGCATGTTACGTAACCTCCATGCATTTGTGTTCTTTTCAGGTTTTTTCTTGTAATTGACTTTAGATTCTATGGCCTTGTGGTCAGAAAAGATGCATGGTATTGACTTATCTTCTTGATTTTGTTGGGACTGGTTTTGTGGGCTATTTTGTCATCTATTCTGGAGAATATTCATGTGCACTTGAAAAGAATGTGTATTTTGCTGTTTTAGGATGGAATGTCCTGAATATATCTGTTAAACCCATCTGTTCCAGTGTGTCATTCAAAGCCATTGTTTTCTTGTTGATTTTCTGTTAGATGATCTGTCCATTGATGTAAGTGGGGTGTTAATGTACCCTACTATTATATTATTATCAATTAGTTCCTTTATATTTGTTATTAACTGTTTTATGTATTTGGGTGCTCCTATGTTGGGTACATATTTACAATTGTTATATCTTCTTATTGGATTGTCTCCTCTATTATTATATAGTATCCTTCTTTGTCTCTTGTTACAGTATTTGTTTTAAAGTCTATTTTGGTGAAATAAGGATTGCTACTCCAGCTTTGTTTTGACATCCATTTGCATGATAGATGTTTCTCCATCCCCTCACTTTCAATCTTCAGATATCTTTGGATCTAAAATGAGTCTCTTATAGGCAGCATATAGATAGGTCTTATTTTTTTTCCCCATTCTTCACCTTATGTCTTTTGATTGGAGTGTTTAGTCCATTTATATTTAAAGTAATTATTGATAGATCTGTATTTATTGGCATTTTATTACTTGTGGTTGTTTTTGAAGATTTTCTCTGTACCTTTCCTGTCTTTTTCTCTTTCATGTTTTGTTGTTTTTCTTTAGTGAACTATTTCAATTTCTTTCTCTTTATTTTTTCCCTCTTTACTACTGGTTCTTGATATATGGTTACCATTAGGGTTCTATATAACCTCCTCTGCATATAGCAGTCTATATCAAGTTGATGATCGCTTAAGTTTGAACCCATTCTTTACTACTCTGCTCCCCATGTTTTAGGTATATGGTGTCATATTTTATATCCTTTTCTTTGTGAGCTCCTTGACTGATTTTTTACAGAAATTTTTCGTTTTCACTGCTTTTGTGTTTCCTTCTTTATAGTGTCACTTTTGGTCTCTCTTTTCCACTAAAAGAGTCCCCTTTAATATATCTTGCAGGGCTGGTTTAGTGGTCACAAACCCCTTTAGTTTTTGTTTGGGAAACTCTATCTATCCTTCTATTCTGAATGATGCCTTGCTGGATAGAGCATTCTTGGCTGCAGATTTTTCCTATTCAGCACTTTGAATATATCATATCACTCCCTTCTGGCTTGTAAATTTTCTGTTGAAATGTCTCCTGCTAGCCTTATGGATTTTCTCTTGTAAGTTAATAACTTCTTTTGTGTTGCTGCTCTTAAGATTTTTTTCTGTATCACTATATTTTGCAAGTTTAATTACATTATGTCTTGGTGTGAATCTGCTTTTATTGATTTTGATGAGAGTTCTCTGTGCCTCCTGGATCTGGATATCTGTTTACTTTCCAGATTAGGGATGTTTTCAGCTATTATAAACTATAAATAAATTTTCTGCCCCCTTTCTCTCTCTTCTTCTGGGACTCCTATAATATAAAAGTTATTAATTATGTTTAGTGGGGTCACTGTGTTTCCTAAATCTATTTTCATTTTGTGTAATTCTTTTGTCTCTCTTTTGTTCAGCTTGATTACTTTCCATTACTCTGTGTTGTAATTCGTTCCTCTGCTTCTGCCATCCTGCTATTCATTTCATCAAGTATTTTTTTTTCATTTATTGAGCCCTTTTTCTTGTCTATGTTATTCCTTATCTCTGTGTTGAGAGTCTCATTCATGTCTTCTACTCTTTTCTCAAGTCCAGTATCCTTATGATCATTGCCCCCCTCAGAGCTGGCCTGCTTAGGTTCCACTAACACCAGAGTGAGCAAGGACAGCCCACAGCAGGCAGAGAGTCATTGTAGACAAATGCACTGAAAGGAAAAGTGACTCAGACACAATAGCAGGGAATAAGCACATACATAGGATACTCTCCTGAAGTGCCAGGTTCTGGTAAACAGGGGACATTGCACTGCAGGGCATTCCAGGACCTCCTCTTCATAAAGTCAATACTTTCAAGAGCAGATAACATAGCTGACTTTCTTAAAATACTGAAATAGATACAAGAGAGGGAGACAAAATGAGGAGATAGAGAAATTTATCCCAAATGAAAGAACAGGACAAGACCCCAGCCAGAGATCTAAGCAAAACAGATATAAATAATGCCTGATAGAGAATTTAAAGCAAGGATCACAAGGAATTTGGGACTTGGGTGGTGCCCAACATGATTTATGGAAGAGCTGTCCCGTCTCCTTTGTCAAGTATTGGTTCATCATATATGCATGTTTTTTTTTCTGGGCTCTTCTATTCTGTTCTCCTGATTTTTGCGTTATGTTTTTATGCCAGTACCATACTTTCTTGATTATTATAGCTTTGTAATATAGTTTGAAATAGTGAAGTGTGATGCCTCCAGCTTTTTTCTTTTTTTCTCATGGTTGCTTTGGCTCTGGAGGATCTTTTGTGGATCCATAAGAATTTTAGAATTTTTTGTCTGTTTCTGTGGGAAATGCCATTGGATTTTGATAGGGTTTGATTGAATGGACATTTTAACAAAATTTACTCTGCTGATCCATGAGCACAGGATATCTCTCCATCTATTTGTGTTCTTCAGTTTCTTTCATCAATGTCTTATAGTTTTTGATGTATAAATCTTTCACTGTCTTGGTTAAATTTATCCGAAGTATTTTATTCTTTTCATGCTATTGTATTTGTGTGTCGTCCTTACGCAGGGGCAATGCTAATTTTCTCTGTATTGTTGCAATTTTAGTATATGTGCTGTGGAAGCAAGCACTTTTTCATGATATTATACATGGGATTGTTTTGTCTGATAGAAATATAGGTACCTCTAATCTCTCTTTCCATTTGCATGGAATATATTTTTCCATCCCTTCACTTTGAGCCTTATGTGTCTTTAAAGCTGAAATGAGTTTTTAGTAGCATATAGTTGGGTCTTTTTTTAAAAAAATCCATTCAGCTGGGCGCCTGGGTGGCTCAGTTGGTTAAGCGACTGCCTTTGGCTCAGGTCATGATCCTGGAGTCCCGGGATCGAGTCCCGCATCGGGCTCCCTGCTCGGCAGGGAGTCTGCTTCTCCCTCTGACCCTCCCCCCTCTCATGTGCTTGCTCTCTCTCATTCTCGCTCTCTCAAATGAATAAATAAATCTTTAAAAAAAAAAAAAAAGGAAAAAAAATCCATTCAGCCACTCTATGCCATTTGTTTGGAGAACTTTATTTATATTTAAAATGATTATTGGAAAAATAAATAAAATTATTATCAGTAGGTAAGGACTTAGTAATGCCATCTTGTTGATTATTTGCTGTCTGTTTTATATTTCTTTTGTTCATTTCTTCCTCTCTTCCTGTCTTTCTTTATGAATTGATGATTTCCCATAGTGGTATACTCTGATTCCCTTCTTCTCTTGTGTATCTACTATAGGTTTTGCTTTGTAGTTACCTTAAGGCTTACACAAAACATTTTATAGTTATGATAGTATACTTTAAGCTGATTAACAACTTCAATCATATACAAAAACTCTACCCTTTTATGCTTTCCTTTTTATGTTTCTGATGTCACAATTTACATCTTTTTATATTGTGTATCCATTAGTAAGTTATTGCAGCTATAGCTATTTTTCATGTTTCTTTAATCTATATACTAGAGTTAAGCGATTAGCACATCACTATATTATAGTATTGGAGTATTCTGAAATTGACATATACTTATTTTTACTGATGTGTTTTATTCTTTCAAATGTTATTAATTAAAGTCTTTTCATTTCTGCTTGAAGAGCTCCTTTCAGCATATCTTGTAAGGCAGATCTGGTGGTGATGAACTCCCTCACTTCGTGCTTGTCTCGGAAACACTTTCTCTCTCTTTCATTTTAGAAGGAAAACTTTGCTGGCAAAGCTCATGGGGTCCTCTGCAGAGCAGGCCACTGGGAATTGTGATCACTTTCTTTGTATGACTATATTAGTAGCCTCTGCCCTTCTTCCTTGTTTGAAGCCATTTCCATAAGTCTTGCCTTTGCCTGTCTCTGAGTAAGATTAAACTAGAACAGGTCGTTTGTGCAGTGCCCTAAAAGGGCGTGGAAGCTGTTCTCTCACGCTGTTCTCCCTTTCCCAGTGTGGGGAACTATTTCAAGCTGGAGTATTCCCTCTTGGTGCTGAGCAATGTTGGCCTGGTGAATTGGATGATGCAGTCAAAATGAAACTGTCTTCCTTCCCTTTTTGTGAGGTTATTCATAGGCTTTTTTGTTCCACTGTGTTGCTGAAGTTTGTTGAATGGATTCCTGAGCTCTCCGAGAACTATTTTTGTTTGTTCATAGCCATCTAACTATTGAACTTCATTGTAGGATGGAGGCTAGAGTCTCCTACTCCATTGTTTTGGCGATGTCACTCTGGACAGTCTCTCGATGTTTGCTTTTAATAGATGAATGCTATTTTGAATACCTTCTTTTGAGAGTTAACCCAACTGAAGGACCAGAGAAGACATCTAAATATATTCTACTGTGGATTTGGTTAATATTTGAATTATAGTTGCTTTTGCAAGGACAATACTTTTACAACATAGTTTTACATATTATTTTGCTTATTTAAAAAATTTATATTAACTGCTCATTGTAATTTTTGTTTTCTTTTTAAAAGACAATGCCATATCACAAGCTTTGGTTCTGTTTGGTGCCCCTAAGGAAGGCATTGAGATTTTTCATGAAAATAAAATGACAAATACTGAAGGTAAGGACTGAATGTAAGTTACATAGTTACCTTTGTAAGCTATATTTACATTTAGCATTAGTTTGTGATGTCCATATTATATTCTTATTAAGAAATGAATCATAAATGTCACTAATAGTTAACATAGTAATGATATATAATATTAAAAGTACAATATTATAATCTATTTTATTAATAGTATATTAATTATATTTAAGCTGTAAGAATTTTTTATAATTTCAGAAATGTTGAATTTTTAAAATAAACATTTTCTTTATTGCTTATGCCAAGACTAGCAGGTGCTAGATCCTTTCCAGTTCATTGAGGATATGTTTCTTAGAAGAAAAAAGAAGTAGGACTAATATTTTCATGGTGTGAAATCCAGAATTAAGAATCTATAAAACATTAGCTCTTGCAAGTGTTTCTGATACTGTATGTGGAAAGAGGTAGAAAGAGATGACAAAAGGCATAGATTTCATGTATAGGGGCTCATGCTTATTTATTTTCAGTTTATTTTGTTGAAGAACTCTGTATTAATCAAAAAATTCTAATCTTGATTTTGGTAAACTTCTGCTCTGGAGATTTTCAGTTTGACAGGATAAAATTGGGATAAGGTGACATTCTGATTCTTTATCTATTTCTCTCTGATATCTTTATCTTCTCTCTCTCTAGAAATGTTTATTAGAATTTTAATCTCCTGGCTTAGGGTTTATTGCCATAGTTTGGGACAAACTTTTTAAAATATCCAATGATTGGTTTATGAAACAGTTAATTCAAGACACTGGAATATACATGTGCTAGTAGGATATAGAGTTATTTAAGACATGATCCTTATATGGAGTGTATAATCTTGCAGGCCAGATAAAATATAACTGTAAACAATTAGTACAACACAACAGAAAAGAATGGCTATATAGAGTAATAGCAGAGATGGCACAAGGTAATTAAAAGTTTCTGTACCCAATTCCAGTGTATAAGCATGGGGTCTCCCCACTACCAAGCAATTCTTGGACATGATCAAGGGTCCTACAATTCAGCTCAGTTCTGACACTGTCTACCCGGAAATAGAGTTAGGTCCCACAAGTTAAGGGTTTAGTGCTTCAAGGCTTCCCCTCCCCCCACTGCAGAGGCCAATCAAAGGTACAGGTTATCACCTGTGCTTCTGACCAACTACTAGAGGTTCCAGTGAAACCCCCTCCTTGGGTTTGCTAGAATGGCTCCCAGAACTCAGAAAAACATTTTTACTTACTAGATTACTGGTTTATTTAAAAAGGATATGACTTGGGAACAGCTAGATGGAAGAAATGTATAGAGTAAAGTAGTGGAAAGGGTACAGATCTTCCACGCCCCCTTTGAGTTTGCACTCTCCGCAAATCTGCACCTGTTCACCAACCTGGAAGCTCTCCAAACCCTGTCCTTTTGGGTTTTTGTGGAGTCGTCTTTATATAGGCATGATTGATTAAATCATTGGACATTGGCAATTGATTCAACCCTCCAGCCCCTCTCCCTTCCCTGGAGGTCTGGAATGGGACTAAAAGTTCCAATTCTCCAATCATGTTCTAACTTTCCAATCATATTTCTTCCCATTCTCTTGCTTGTCTTTTCATTCATTTAAATATCTGTTTGAGGAGTTGAATGTTTTGTCTTTGATGAAGTCTAATTTATTATTTTTTCTTTTATGTTTCTTCTCCCTCCATTCCTTCCTTCTTTCCTTTCTGCCTTCCTGCCTGCCTGCCTGCCTGCCTGTACTTTAAAGATACTTTTTTATTACATTCTGGCTTGCATTTTTTTTCTGATGAGAAATGTAGCAGTTATTCATACCCATGTTCCCATTATGTTATGTTCCCTTTTGTTCTCTGGCTACTTTAAAGAATTCCTTTTTATTATTGTTTTTCAGTAATTTGACTGTGATATTCCCAGATGTAGTTAGTTCTCTTGATATTTTAATTGTTTGGGATTTGCTGAGGTTCTTAGATATGTAAGTGTTTTTTCATCAAATTGTGAAATAATGTGGCCATTATTTCTACAAATATTTTTCACTCCAAATTTCTTGTTTTTGAAGAACCTTAACCTTACACATGTTAGATTATTTGATTTTTGTCACACAGTTTTTTGAGGATCTGTTCTTTTTTCATTTTCTTTCTGTTCTTTAGATTGGATGATTTCTGTCATTTCATCTGCACATTCACTGAGCCTTTACCCTGTCCATTTGTTGTCAAGGCCAACCAATATATTTGTTAATTTAAATTTTCATATTTGCAGTTCTGGAATTTCCATTTGGTTCATTTTCATAGTTTTCATTTTTATACTAATCTTCTTATATGTTCACTTATTAAGGCCATATTTTCCTTTAATTACTTGAACATACTTTTTTTTTTACTTTTTTGAATATATTTATAATAGCTACTTTAAAATCTTTGCTGTATATACATAGCTTCTGGGCCAACTTGGTTTCGGTTTCTACTGATTTTTTTCTAGACTTTTAAAACACACTTTCCTGTTTCTTTGTATGATTTAATACTGGATATTTGTGTAGTACATTGTGAAGACTCTGGATTCTGCTATCTTTCTCTGAAGGAAATTGATTCCTTTTCTAGCAGACAGCTCAGTCAGTCATTTGATCAACTTAAAAGTAGTATATGCTTGGTTTTATGCAAAAGTGAAGATATATATATGTGTGTCTACACACACATTCACACACACACGCACACACACACAAGGAATTTACCAATCCCCTCTAATTTGGCTAAATTCTGTCTCCTCCACATATTATATTATAGCTTGATTTTAAACTTTTTTGGTGGGTGTAGAGGAGGCTCTTCTCTAATGTACAGTCCTTCTTCCTAAGCTGTAACACAAGAGAGTGTTCTGAGGCATTGATGAAATCTCTACATTCTGTCAGTACTGGACTTCTAAGGTTTTCTCCTCATCCCTCGCCAGTACGCTTTTACCAACACCACTCAACCTCTAGTGTTTTTGTTCCTTTCTCAATCCCATAGCATATATTCTCTATTAACCTTCAGGTAATTTTGCTCTGCGTACACGTACAGTCTAGCCCTTATCTACAGATGCAGAGAGCACTCTCACATGGATTTCTGGGGGTCCTTCTCTGCACGGCTATGTCCTTTTCAGTTCCCTGCCCTGAAGATTCTGTCTCCATTACCCATGGTACTAGTCTTTGCCCTTTATCTCAGCAGGATTTCCATGCTCTTTTCTTACCCCAGATCTCTATATTTTAGTTGAAAAATTGTCCCTTGGCAGAGAGCATGGTGATTATGGGGCTCAACCTTATGAATTTTCCTTTCTCAGGAATCAAAAGTGGGCATTCCTATTTTCTAATGTCTGAAAACAGTTGTGTCACATATTTTTTCCAGGCTTGGAAGACTGAATCTTTATCAGTTACTCCTTCACAGATGGTAGTAGAAATACTGATTAATGGGGTTTGTGAATGAAGATTTCATAAAGTTGAGAGAACAGAAGCCAGTTTACAGCATGGTAAAATTAAAAAAAGAGGGATTTATTCATTCATTCATTTATTCAACAGTTTTTTAAGGCACTAAACATAGTTTCTCTCCATAAAGAATGTAGAACTTCATGGGGAAGATGGATGGGGAAACAGATAAATGTGACACAGCTGAATACTAATAAAGGGATAGAAAATGCTATGGCTAGGTGTAGCCAAATGTCTGAAAGATTCAAGAATTCCTCATAGAGAAAGAGCCATGTAAGTTGCATAGAAATTTCAGTTTGAAGAAGAGATCAGAATATGAGAATATTGTGGCTGCTGGTATAGATTGCTCATTTGGAAAGAATTGTTAGTCAAAGCAAAATTTACTATAAGATAATAGCTGTAGGAAGTTGTCAGACACAGTAATAGGAAGACCTGTGATTACTTAAGGGAAGCAAAACTAAATACATTGAAATTGCAGATTTTGAAAAGACTGAAGGGAATGGAGATAAGGGAACACTGAACAGAGCCATTTATGTAGTGGTTAGAGTAGATGCAGTCTTTAGTCATCTCCGACTCGAGTCTGTGCATATTATTTTATGTATTCAGTGATAAGTGTCTTCAACCTTGTAAGGTTCAATGAAAAGAAAGTAACTCTAATATCATGGAAAGGTCACCCCCTGCCCCCCGATGCCCCCAGTGGGTAACAAAAACTAAAGGGAGATTTGTTTCTGTAAAAAAAAAAAAAAAAAATTAAAGGTACTTCCTGTTCATCAAACAGGCTTTGCAAAGAATAGAAATTATTTCTAAACTTGAGAGTATTGACTTTTTCTACATTTTGGAAAGAAAATCAGGATGTTAAAAAGAATAACAGAATGTGAAAAACAAATCTGTGTTGAGAGAAGTTTTCTCCTGAGTACTGAGTTCAGATAAAGGGATGATACAATAACTGGGGTGATGGACATAAAGGAACTACATATTAAAAGCAGGAGAGAAGGAAGGATGGACTGGGTGAATAAATTACATAAGGATGACATTCACAGAGCAAGGAGAGTTGGCAGTTTATGAACATAGGATTTTTATTTCATTTGCCCACATAATCAGCCAGTCCATATTTTTCCTCAAATGGAAGTTTCATGTTGCAGAAACAAACCACAAGTGTAGCCTAGATCCAGGAAGATCTCACTTACCTCTTAGGCATTGATTCTGAGCAAGGAAGTTAAAGTTGGCCAGATGTTTAGAGAGGATGAAAGTCTTGCTTGAGCTTACGTCTTTAAAGACTCACCCTGAGGGGCACCTGGGTGGCTCAGTCAGTTAAGTGTCTGACTCTTGATTTCAGCTCATGTCCAGATCTCAAGGTCCTGGGATAGAGCCCTGTGTCTGTCTCCAAACTCACTGGGATGTCTTCTTGAGGATTATCTCTTTCCCTCTCCCTCACTCATCCCCCCCGCCAAAAAAAAATTTAGATAAATCTTTAAAAGAAAATAGACTCACCCTGACAATTTGTGCACAGGCTTCACGAGGAGAAGTTCTGTCAATATGCTTGACTAAAATCATTAATTAGTTGTATCAT